TCAAGAACAATGATTGTCTCTATTTCAAGCTTGAACATGGGGCTCAAAGAGGAAATTTTTGTAAAGGAAGTGAGCAACGAGCTTAAGAAGGAGTATAAAAGAAATACTCCAAGGGAGTAGGTTTTAAAGGTGAGAACTGAGAAGAGAGAAGGTGAAACGTACTCACACAAGATTATAATGGACTCATCGGTTTCTACAAAAACATAACTTTATTACTATTCTTTTCTTGTTAAAATAAAAACAAAAACTAGTGAAGTGGTAAAAATGAATGTCCTCGCTTTGCATGCGTATATTCAAATGATTACACTTTTTTGTTTGCAGTTGTGCATGGTTGAATAAAACAAGAACACCCACAAACTTTGATGTATGATATCTTATGCTGAAACGTCACATAGCGTGAGGGCCGAGGCGCATGATATCGTGTACATGTATATAGTACTCCCTCCATCTCTTTATATAAGATATTTAAGGATTATTATTTTTTATAAATGTTTTATATGTTTCTATACAAAATTTAATGTACGTGACCATTTATATTCTGCAATAATATTTTTATTGGTTGATATATTTTTAGTTAGATATTTTTAATGTTATAAAAAAACTAAACTAAACTAATATATTTCTTAAACTACGTATTGAGGGAGTACTATATTTCAATTGTTCTCTAGTGTGGAAAAAAATAAATATATGTAATTTTTTAAACCAAATAAAAATTCGAGTATAAGCTATGTAAAAGTATGCAACAGTTGCAAAGACCCTTGCAAATACGTTTATCTGCAAAATGTAATATCTATCAATATGTGCAAAATTCTCAATTCTATAATAGTAAATGTTTTGGTTGAAAAATAATAAATGTTTTGGTTGGAAATAGTTTGGTATAAGTACAAAGAAATTAGAGGTGGTTCGTGGTCATTTCGAATAGCTAATGGGAAATACCATAAAATGTTTGGGAATGGATAATTTGAAAATTAGACAACATTATTCAAAGTGTTTCAGTTAAAGAAAAGGGACGAGAAAAATGAATGGCGAAACAAATTTGGGTAAGCTAAAATCCCTTTTTTTCCCAAATGATGAGATACAACTCAAGGAAGAAGACGGCCTTGGTAGTTATTTACGTAGCTGCTTTATGAATTAGCGGGGATGTGTTTCCTTCACCACCACGATGGTGGAGAGTCTATCTACGACGTGGATGTTTATAGTGATAACTTGATGGTTCTAGGCTTTTGAGTATTTTGAGAGAAATATTTGTCATGAATTCAAGGATTACACACAGACATTCGTTCATTCAGTTGTGTCATGAATTCAAGGATTCAAGCACAATAAATCATTCAAAGAAGTTATTGACGCATCTCATGTTCATACACCTTTATCAAACGATGTTGGAACCGAAACATAGCCGATTCAGACAAGCTTTACATGTGTGTTGTGTCCAACCTTGAGAAATCACTTCTCATATTTCAAACTCTTACTAATTTTCATCTCAATTTCAAAAAGGGAAATTCGAGTAATCTCCGAAAAAACTATAATTCTTTTTGTTCTTTTTTAACTAAAAAAAAAAAAAAAACCTAAACGGATAATTCCGCTAATTCATTGTCGTTTTCTTAAATAGTAGAAAATATAAACCATTGTCATTTTCTCAAATCACTTTTACTTATTACCCTAACTACTCGAGTTATCATGTTATTTTTGGTTATTTCACCAATTGTCAGTTTTTTTGTAATTTAGACTATTTCTCAAAAATTTCTGAAGTTTTTCTGCTTCGATTTAGAGTTTTTTTGGTGAATAACCAAAATTTTTTTTTTTAAAAATTAAAAAAAATAGAGTAGATAGCAAATTGTAGGATATTGGATTTAAAGTTTTTTTTTTTTTTGGGTTAGTTTTTAAATTATAATTTGTTTTTGTTGTATTTTCGGCAAATTTTCCGTTCGATTTATCAGTCTCTTTCTCTCTCTCCGTCTCCACCATTCGCCGTTCGAATAACCAAATCCACAGAAAGTCCGTTTTGGTTCCTGAAAGTGATTGCGTCACACTTTTGTTAAAAAGATCTAACGTGGGTACTCACAAATTCAATG